CTCATTATGTAGCCCAGGTTGGCCTCGAACGCATGGTGATCCTTTTGCCTCAGCCTGTTGGATTACAGGCGTGCTCCACTATGCCCAGGGTTCTGTTTTTGGTTTTTTGTAATATTTCTTAAGTTTATTTTTGTTACTGTGTATTTAAAAAATTTCTATTATGAATTATAAGTAGAATATTCCCCATACTGTTTATAAGTGATAGTTCCAAGTTGGTATCAAACTTAACTTTTTTAACTTATGTAATCAAGTAACTATTCAACTCTGTATTATGAGTTTCTAAATTGGGTTCTTTAGGATTTTACAAAAGACAATCATGTTACATCTGTATATAATGGTAAATGATTTCTTTTTTTCAAAGTTGTAGTTGTCTTGCCTTAATAGATTTGCAAGAACCTCTATAGTATTAAAAAAATGTTGCTAGAAAGCACATTTATTTCATTCATTTCCTTAATTTTACTATCTAAAACATTTTAACATTTAATCATAGTTAAGTATCCTTCTGGCTACTGATGTGAGATATTCTTCATCATATTAAAGAAGACTTCTACATCTTGTTTTACACAAGATGTATTAGCTAGACATGTTGAAACATTTTTAAGTATAATTCTTACTTTGTAATGTCATTTTTCCTATTATTGTTTTGGAGTTCCTCAGAGTGAACATGTAATTTTCTTCCTCCAGTCTATTTAATGTGATTAAATTTAAATATTAAAATTTCCATACAAAGAAAACTAAGTCTTGCTCTACTTGTTTATATATTAATATAGTACTGTAGTCCTCATATCTTTGTGGATGTGTTGCTATATCATGTTCTGTTATAAAATATATGGCAAATAATTTTTAAATGCTATTTAAAATATTTAACTTTTCTGGTTGTTTACTAGTCTTAAAAGTAGAGCAGATTCAAGGTTACCATTTGCATTCTCTGTTGCTTTTTGAGTGACAGAGAAAGGAATGGTGCTACAGCAAAATTCTAGCAGTTTTGAATAATCCTGAATGAATCACATGAAAGTTTTAAATCATGTGTATCACAGTAGAAAAAGCACTCATGTACTCTGGGATTATACTTTTCTTAGATTTTATCATAAGTGGAAAAATAAAATAAAAAATAACATTTTATTATCAGTAACAACAAGGCTAGGGTTATATTTTTTGTGGAGTTTGCCAGGTATTGGTATCATGGTTACTATGTATTCATGTGTATAGTTATAGCACTTAACATAATATATACATACATATATATTTATATATATAATGCAAGTGTATATATGTGTGTATGTTTGCGTGCATGCCTGTGTGGATGAATCAGACCATTAACAAATGGATAAATATAGGTCCCATTACTTCAATGTACTACCATTTTGATATTCTAGGAGTGAAGAGAAGTTGTAGTTTAATGCCTTTTAGGTCTCATTTAGCCTGTGTTTAATTATATTTATATTAAATCCTGCATTTGTAAATCTCCTGGTTTGCATGTTCAAATAAATCTTTTTGGTTTTCATGCAAAATGACATTTTTCTAGCTACCAAAACAGAGTAAACTTTTTCTCTTTTAAAATTGTTAGTTGGCTTCAAAGCTCTCCTGTGAGAAAGCTGCATTAGATTAAAATGTTATGATTTTTAAACATTGTCAAGATTGATGCCCCCCAAATCAAAATTTGTCGTTCCTTTTCTTCTATTCATTTATGAAAGAAAAATCACATGAGAAGTTATAAATAAAAAGATTTTTTTCCAGATATTTCAGAACTTGATATTTTCCAGATATTTCGTATATTAAAGTGGTTCCAAAGCAGGGTAAAATTTAGCTTAAACCTGCAAAAGAAAGGCCTTAGAATGGTGAGCAGAGGCAGATCCTTCCTTCCCAGTTCCAAAGACAGACACTCTGTGCTTCATTCTCCATCCCTCATCTGACTCTTCTTATAAGGCATCTATATCCAGCTTTTCCTTCCCTTCACCTGGGGCCCAAGTGAGAGGGAGAAAGCTTTATATGTTGTACACTGAAGCCCACTTGGAAGCAAACCTAGGCTGTAGAAGTTAAGCAATGAGAGGGAACAGAGAAAAGAAAGGGAAAACATGCCAAATTAGTCAGGATTTTCAAAAGTTTTCCTACTCATTTTTAAGACAGGGATTCATAGAAATGTATTTCTTACTTTTGGCAAAACTAGAGGAAGTGACAAGCCACACTGCAGAACTGCTCTTAGGGGAACATTAGCTTTAGGGATATGGGTGGAGGAAGGGTGATCAACACTGAGAGAGAGGATTAGGCTTCTGAGTATCATTGAGCTTGCTGTGCCCAGAGGGAGAAGGCCAGTAGGTTGGCTCTAGGAGCTTTGGTGAGGTTCAAATAGTAGATACTAACTTGGGAAGCCCTAATGAACATTTAAAACTGTAGGATTGTTTGAGGTGTTTCAAGGAATATCAGAAGATATGTGACAGTGAAGAATCCTGTGAAGAGTGTAGCAGTATTCCTTAAAAAAATGTAGTGTGTGAAATTCAGTGGGCTAAAACATTTGAAGAAAGTGTAGGAAATGCAGATTTGAAATTTGGTCAATTGAAATTGTATTAGGTTGCTAGGGTTGCCTTTAAAACTACCATAATATAGGTGACTTAATGAAACAGAAATGTCTTATCTCACAATTCTGAGCTAGAAGTTTGACATTAAGATGTTGACAGGTCCAGGGTCTGTCTTAAATCTTTAAGAAAATCCTTCCTTGTTTCTTCTTAGGCTCTGGTGGTTTGGCAGCAATCTTTGATGTTCCTTGGTTTGCAACTGTAGAATTCCAATCTCTGCCTAAGCTGTCATGCTGTTTTCCCCAAATGCATATGTCTTCAGATGGTTATCTTCTTATAAGGGCACCCGGAATATTGAATTAGGAGTCAACATCATTTTAGTATGAGGACCATTTTATTACTAATTACATCTGCCACAACTCTATTTCCAAATAAGGTCACTTCCTGGACTTCAACATTAACTCTTTTTGAGGAATTCAACTCAAGTCTGATAACAAATATAATACATAGTATAAAAGTTGATTAGTGAGTCTCAAGTGGACAAGGGAAAGGAAACATAAGAAGATAGAACAGGAGTGAAGTATAAGAGTTTCTGGGATTCAACATGTGGTCATCAGCACATAAGGAAAGAGTCTTGAGTCACCAAAAATATCAATCTAATAAAATAATATTGAACTGAATGCTTTGATTCATCAAAGTTAACTGTGTAGTAATTGAAATTATATTTATGTAGTACCGTTATTAAACTTCTGTATCATTATGTGTTTCCTATTAACTCCTAAGGCAATGGTAGCGAACCTATGGCGCAGGTGCTCCAGCTGGCTAATAATTGAAAGCTTTAAAAGGTTCCCCTTCATGGTCTAAGGTACTCCAGTTTTAAAACATTAATACTGATATAACTGATATAGGTTTATTAGAATCTATTATATAATCTATGTAAATGTAAATATAAACATTTCTCATGCTCTCTATAGTTTTTTATGATTCCTAGTATTACACATTTACTGAAGGATGCAAGTTTGTCATAAAATAAAGGTCTGAAATGAGAAAGTCATTTGCACTATATAATCTGATACATTTGTTTCCTTCAGAGTCTAAAAAAATAATTTAAGTTTTCCATGATTAAGTTAAAAGCTGTTTCTATTAAAATTGGGATCTGGGGAGATAGCTCAATGGTAGATTGCCTGCTTACCATGCACAAGGCCCTGGGTTCAATTCCCAGAGCTATACACACACACACAAAATATCTTGGCCTAAAATTTTTCAAAGCAAGGAAGAGATTTGAAATGTTTCTGAATTTTCTCTGCCAAACATACCTCCTATAATTAAATATTTATATGAATGTGCTGTGTATATACTGTGTAATACAAATGGAATGTGTTTTTTGGGTACCAATTTCTATTTTGATTAATTACATAGATATTAAAACTGCATCAACTTTAGGGTTGTTGATAGTATTTGGTTTTAGTAATAACTTGAATCATGAAAATCACCCACAAAGGCAGTCTTGTTTTCTTCTTATACTCTCTCTTCTTAGAAAAATGAACGGAATTGTTAAAGATGAACCTGGCCCTTCTCAGGAGCTACAGTAGTGGTATGGTCCAACTCTGGACCTGCAGACATTTTTCCTTTAAGACAGGGACGTCCTATCTGAAGGCTGTGGTGTTTGTTTTGCGTGCACAAGACAACCACACCACCCTGAAAGGGCCCACAGTCCCTGAGCAGGTTCAATGTTGCCCTCCTCAGGAGCACTTGTGCATTGCATAGTTGCACTTAATCACCAGATAGCTCAAAACCAGAGAATTGAGCTTCTATTTTAAAAACAAATCAACAAAAATAATAGAGAAATTATCATTCTTTATCTAAACTGGAGGCCCAAACAAATCCTCCCTGATTCAATGTGCAGATTCTGGTTTGACCTCAACTCCCTACCAGATGCGCTTGTTCGCACACAGGCAGCACTTTCTGTAACATTGTGGGCCAGACACAGAGATTTTTCCAAATGTTCCATGGGCTTTTGGCAACCTTGCTTTTTTGTTCAGCTTTTAGCTGGGTTGGCTGTATTCTTTTTAGGTTTGTCTTTGGGAAACTGCTCCCTGCTGGGCTTCGGTTGATGGGTAATGCCTGAACTTAGCAAGGCAAATTGGTAATTGACCCTGAATGGACCCTGGACTTTGGAGCTTCCTGGATGATACACTTGCTTACCCTGTTGTTATCAGTCAGAAAACCTCATGAGGTGATACATTTCCAATCCCCTGACTGTCTTGTGACTACTGGAAGGTATTAGGCAAGCTCAGTCCAGAAGAATTGTCATAAAGTTGTTGACTGGATTGTGTCAGGAAAAGTTTAGCATGTCCTGGCAACTTTTATGCACACACTAACTCTGAGAGGCCAAGGGTTTTATGTAAAATAGTAACTAAAATTAACTCACCAACACAGCTTTGTTTAACAGACTCATGCATTTTTTTGTTTTTCTTTTCGAGACAGGGTCTCACTTTGTAGCCAGGCTGGCCTCGAACTTACAGAGATCCTCCTGCCTCAGCTCCCAAGTGCTGGAATTACAGGTGTGCACTACCACACCTGGCTCATATATGGGGCATGTCAAATGGCTGAAGGATGCACTTTCTCAAAGTCAATAACAGAGGGACAAGGAAAGAAAAGGATGATTATGTAAGAGAGAGCTTGGACAAAGACCAAGCCAATACCAAAACAGCTGTCACTTTCCCCTGTGCTTTCACACGGATCCAACTGTTCCACACAGCAGAAAACCAGAGTAAAATGAAGATAAATGTATATGTTGTTTGTTCGGATTTAACTGTCACTATCACAGGACACACTACTCTCCTTGGGAAACTTTCTGTTTCATTAATCATGCTTTCTTTTGAAAATGTGCCTAATTTTAAGTGATGTAAATTTTTACTACTTTACAAACAGGCTTTGAATGTTTAATCATATTTGAATGATGCTAAGATTTCTGTATTGAACATGAGAAAGATTGTTATAAAATGTAGTAAAATATTGCTTTATGTAAAGAGAGAAATATTTAATAATTTTTATTTTCATTTCTGTACATCATGGGTCAGGTTGCCCTAAGGAGTTTCCTGAAGAACAAGTCTATGAAAGAACTTCATCATAGATTCAATTAAAAACATGAAATGAATTCAGTCTCAGAACTTTTAGTATGCATAGTGTTAATTTCCTAGAATAAGATGAATGACTGCTATCGTGAATAATTTTGGACAAATTCTCATTTATTTTTTAATTTTAAAGAACTTAATGAATTTGAGACAAAACAACCTTTTTTGTTCAGATGAAGGTAGACTACACAAAATAAAATTAGGAATATAATTTTAAGCACAACTTTAAAATAAGATGTGTGTTATGGTTTACATCTGGATGTCCCCTCAGAGTTTCATGTGCTCATAGATGGCGCTTTGGGGAGGTGATTGATCATGGGGGTGTGATACTCATCAGTGGATTAGTTCATTGATGATTTTATAACTAAATGTGGTGTCAGGAAGTAAAGCTTGGTTGGAGGATTTGGATTACTGAGGGCGTGACCTGGAAAGGTCTATCTCTTTCCCTCCTTCCTTGATCTCTTCTGGGCTTCCCTCTACCAATGTAATGAACAACCCTCCTCTGCCATGCCACTCTGCCTTGGAGCCAACCGATTATGAACTGAAACCTCTGCAAATTGTGAACCAAATACAGTTGTATTTTTCCTCCTTACAGTTGTAGGTGTTTTGTTATTGTGTCTCAGCAATGAGAAAGTAACCAAGACAATATGTATGTTTTAAAGATTGATCTTTCTTTTGATCAAAGACAGACAAGTTACAGAATTGTCTTTAGAGATTTGTTTGTATAATGCATTTAGTTCAAATGCCCTATGATGAATGTTATCATTATGTATGCCTAAAAATGTACAAATAAATGTTGTGCTATAAAAAAAAACCAAAACAAAAAAGAAAAATGGAATAAATCACAGTTAATAATAGAAGATTAAATTATTTTTTAAATATAGATAAAGTAGGGGGATTTTTACTACTTTTTTTTTTTCAGGAGCCAATAGGAGAGAAATTAGAGTGGCCAGCAGGGGGATTCTTTCGGGTTTCCTCTCTTTCCTCCTTAAATTGGGAACAAAACTGAAAATACATATTACTCCTTAGTTTTATAAATAAGGAATGAAGGGGAAAACCAGGCTGCTACATTTGCATTGCTTCTGCTAGTCTAAACAAAACAGATTTTCCTTCTCTGCAGTTACTTCCTCTTCCGTTTCCTTCAGTCACTATTCTTTCTCAAACCCTATAGAGTGTGACCCCTGCTGTCCTGATTTGGCACTGCAGCCTCTTCCTCAATTCCTAGTCAAAATTCTATCTTCAAAAACTTCCCAGGAAGAATTAGAGTGATTGGCTCTCCTCCCTACTTAAATTAAAAGTTAATTATGAGCAAAGAAGGGTATTCCAATTCCATGAAGTCAGGGGTAGTTAAAGAATCCTCCTATTTCCTGAACCTCTATTTCAGAGGGAGTTTGAAATCATGAGCTTGAGCTCAGGAAAACTAGTGAGTGGCGATGCCATGTGACTTTTAAGAATGCTGTGATTTCTCAGGAGTTCGGCAGGATATGAAAGCCCCCAGGACTGACGAACATATTCTAATCAATTTTGGGATACAATTGCAAATTATCTTCTCAACCCTTTACATATGTAACAATTTACTTCCTCTTTTTCTTTCTTGTGTCATTTTGTAAATGCAGACTCAATGACTTTAAGGATAGGGCAGAACAATTCACCCGATAGTGAATAGAAGGTAAAATGGTGACATTTTGTGTTATACAAGTGAAATCTCAAGAGAAATTGAAATTGACCTCATGTAATTTTTCAAATAAGAATTAGGTTCTGGCAGTGGAAGAAGGAAGTATATATATATATATCTGTATTGAGTTTTGAAGCTCCAATTGGTTCAAAAGTCAGGAATTTCAAGTTTAATATGTAAAACATAAAATTATGTTAGAATTTTGTCTTAAATTAGAAACAAATGAAACTTTGATTCTTGAAATAATACAGATAGTAGAGAAAGGACCTACTTTCCAAACTGGCATACATGACATTAGAATATACGTGGGCTATGGGAATGACAGGATGAGCCTGCAGCTGCTTCATTTTATGATAATTTACATGCAGATTGGGGATAAAGTATTAATAATTTAATGGGCAAACAGTGGTTTGGTACTTTAATTAGGACTGTGTTATGAAGTAGAAAAATTCAAAGAATTTGTGGTCTGACATTCACATGTCGAAATCCTTACCTCCAAGTTGCTGGTATTAGAAAAGCGGTTTTTAGGGTAATTATGTCACTAGGAAAGAGCCCTTATGAATGAGATTAGTGTCCTTATAAGAAGCTTGAGAGTGATGCTTTAGCTCTTCCTCTGCATGTGGGGACAGCAAGAAGGTAGCATGCATGAGTTGGAACTTGGGCTTTCATCAGACACCAAATCTGCCAGCATCTTGATCTTGGACTTCTTCATCTCCAGGGCTCTGAGAAAGAAATTTTCATTATTTATTAGCTTCCTACTTTATATATTTTGTTATAGTAGCCAAGACATAATAAGACAGTTTGATCAAGATGAGCCTTTAAGAAATTTTGAATGTGCAAAAGTATGATATAACATGACTTCTCCAAGTATACTCCTCAAATAAGTACTTTGGTGGCCAAACTATCATGTTTCTTGTCTTGGAAGAGTGGGTGATTGATGTGCCCTCTGGAAATCCATTTAACTTCTCATGCATTAGTAAAACTGATCACAGCTCTTAGCCCAATTGAGAAATTATTAGAAAATTAGCATTGCATACCTGTATATTGTGTTAAGCAACTTATGTACAAACGTATAAATACAGCAATAGAAGAGCTTGGGTTCTATCGAAGAGGAAAAGCAGATAGAGGACTAGGAAGCAGAGATATCATAACTTACTGCAAAATCATAACTGTGATTTATATGTGCTTGCATAGCTTTGTCCTTTACCAAACCTTAGTTCTCAGGGTTACCCTTCAAAACAGGGAAGAAATGCATTTTTATTACTGGATGATTTAACCAGTAGCCAAGATTATGACTTATAACCTTGGATTTTAAGATTGTCTATGTGAATAATTTGAGGCTGAAATTTAATAGGTTCCCTTTCTGCTCCTAAAAGAAGAGGCCAATAAGAGAATTCTTTTACCTAGTTGTGGTTTATAAGACAATTCCTGGGAATGACATTACAGTGTAACTTACTTGATCTAAATTATTGCTTGCCTTTAATATTCTTTCTTTTAAAAAAATACTACATCCCTCTCCCTTTCTTTTCATTTATTTTTCTTCTGCTTTTATAGGAACAGGAGTGAGAAGTGGAAGTTAATGTATGTAATTATGTATTCATTGAACAAGGTTATCCTTCACATTTTCCTTGCCTGCTTATTATGTTGTTTTAAAAATCTTTGATAAAAATATTAAAAGGCAAATGAATGAAGGTTAGATCAGTCAGTCACACAGCACTAACTGAATTAAAATACATGTCGTTTTTTTTCAGGTATAGGCTATTGATATCCAATTACACAGAGCCTTAGTGTCAAAGAAAAGGTAGCTGATTTTCTTTCTCCCATATTCCCCCTTTATCCTCAGGGTATTTTCCAGTATTTTTGTGCTGGAGGCCTCTTAAGACAAACAATACATTCAATCAACTACATGCTGAAAAGCAACCTTAAAGATTATGATAAAGTGATTGTATTAATCCATCTAATTTTCTGTGCCTCTTCATTTCATGCTCTTTGGTAGTGACCTACTCATTCTGATGCTAAGCTGGCTCCATGGCTTGCTTTGAACAATGGGATTATTTTAGTTACTTTTTTCTCTCATTGTTGAGACAAAATACCCAACACCCAAAGTTGTGGGGGGAAAGGTTTATTTGGTTTGCAGTTTGTAGAGGTTTGAGTCCATAATTATCTGGCTCCAAGGTAGAGTGGCACATGGAAGAGGGGTATCACAGAGCAGAAAGAGTTTATGGTGCCCACATGGTAGCAAAAGCAACAAGGGGCTTTAACAATGTCATTTTGCCCCTTTTATCTTATTCAGACTATTAGAGCAGTTAGCACTTACATCCTTAATCTTAGTGCCTTGGGCCTAGCTCCACCATGAATTAATCCCACTCTAGATTCAGCCACTCTGAAGAAGCATGAGGCTTTAGGGGAACATCTAAATACAAGCCATAACAGGGATTATAGCAGAGTTCATACAAGCAGAAGCCTGAAATGCATTTCTGCATTTCTTCCTTTTGCAGGACGCCACTACTGCTGGGAGAAAATATTCCAGCTTGCTTGTGCTGGAGATCTGTAAGAAGACTCCAGTGAAGGAAAACTGAACTTTCCCAGTGATTCCATCAAGACCAGATAATTACCACTGACGAGTCAGCTAATAGCAGTGAGCATGTGAGCCCATCTGAGATCAGGCAACCACAGGCTAGAGGATCAGAACTGTTCAGCCATATCATTAATTGAAAGAATATAAGTGGTTGTCGTTTTCAGCCATTAAGTTTAGAGTGTTTCGCTGTGTAGCAATAGTTGATAAATACAGGATCGTTTGTTGCAGGCTTCCCATATTAGAGATGAGAAAACTGAGGCTGGGGATTTAAATTTTTCTTCACATTTTGAAGATACTGAACTTCCATATTTTAGAGTTAACTTTAGCTCTAATTATATAAATATAATTATTTACTAGTAGACTTGTATAATTTCCAATATAGCCAGAAGTCCTAATTATTGACAAATTTCTCAAAGCTTACCAGCTAATCCCAGATGGTGTTGTAATAAGTAATATTTCCTAGAACTATTCTGGTTATTGTTACGTTTAAATTAAAAACAATGTCAAAGTTAAGCCATGCTTTGCATTGCAGAAATTGTCATTCGTGTAAAGTCATTCTCTTATGCAATGAAAAGATTAATTTGGTGTGCTGAATTTGCACTTGCTTTTGATACTTAAAGGGCTTAGTCCTGTGAAACACATTATAAGTGTCCTCTAGAAACTGGGCAGGTTTCCAACTGATTTCAAGTTGCAATTCAAATTATTGTTTTTTTACATATAACAACTACATTATGTGAATTCATGATCTCTCAAAAAAGACTGGAAATAAAATTCTAAACTTTGAAACTACAGTAAAGGTTACTCTAGGAATATGTAAAGGCAGCAATCTCTTGGGTTAACAGGGTCCTTTTAATGATGACTCAAGCTTTGGATCCAAAATACAAAGCTTTTAACTGAACTTTATCTTTTTATGGCATTGTATTGCAACAGAGAAGTGTATAGATTCAAAATGGTTTTCTCTTTCATGGTTTACTTTTTAATGTGATTATTCTTTTATTAAGCAGAAATCCCATTTTCTTGAAATACCTTAATATCTTTTTTCCCCCATTAAATTGGTACATTTTAGGTATAAAATACAGTTACATACATCATTGGGATCTTGTACCATTACATGAGTATCTTGGTTCTTATTTTTTTCCCCATTACCCTGCCCTCCCTTTACCCCCTCCACCCTTCCCTATTTGTAAAGACTTTGTTTCCAATTTTTTCCTTTTCTCATATTTTTTCTTTTCCCTTCTTTCCTTTTCCTTACCCCTCCCACTTCCCCTGCTCCTTTAGACGTTTATATCCTATTACACAATATCAATTATACATTTTTAAAATTACAATATCAAGATCTAGGAGACATTATCAGATTTTACAGAATTTAAAAGGCTATGGAAAACATATTACAAAAATATTTTTTGAAATAAATTTGACAACTTCTAAGAAGTACCTTGGAAGACAAATTAATGAAACTAACTCTGGAGGAAATATAAAAT